TAAATTTTGTTGATTGACATTATTTTCCACCTTCAATTTAACTGTTTCATAAGATCTTTATGAAATACACTAAATTTTATAAAGTCAAATGGCTTAAACAAGATAGACTTAAAGTCAAATGATCTCAAAATATAAAATAAAATGCAACATAATTAGATTTTCTCTTGTTGGATAAGTAGGGCCAAGGTGATAGCATTTTTAATTCTACACATAAAATTATGTCACCCCTTCTCCGCACTCCTCAACAAGCTGTAATTTTCTTCATCTTTAACCAAATTATAGTAACTCTCTTGACCTTGCATGCCCTTTCAGCAACCACAGTATTTCTGTGGTTCCTTCATAACAAGGTCCTCTCAAAGAGTTATCTATAGTCACTGTCCCTAGTACTTCATTCTCTCTTTAATCCACTCCAGTCAGGGACAAGAGACAATCTCTTTTCTCCCATATCTTTTCTGAAATTACTCATCAAGGTCACCAACCATCTCCAGATTTTTAATTCAGTGGTTAATTCTCAGTCCTGATTTTATTTCTCTGACATGTTTGACTTGTTATTTGACCCTGTCTTTTTGGAAACATGTTTCTTACTTGACTTCCAGCCCTACTGTTTCTCCCTCATTAGCTGCTCCTTCTTACTTGAAGTTCTTCACTCATGTCTCCTCATACCACAGGCCTGTAAACAGCAGAGGGTCTCAGGTCTCATTCTTTGAACCTCTTCTCCTTTCAGCCTATGCTTATTCCCTTGGAGATCTTACCAAATCACATGATTCAAAAATGACTGTTATGCTATTGATTGCCAATTCATAGGCCCCAGAAATATTTTTTTCCCATTCAGCTATTTGGCATTTTCATTTTGATGTCTGGTGGGCATCACAGATTAAAAATATACAAAAACAAAACTCCTGATCTTCATCCTTAAAACTGTTCCTCCAAATGTCTTGCTCATCTCAGGAAATGGCAATGTTGTCAATCAGTATAGCAGCTACTCAAGCCAAAGATCAGGAGGTGGTTTGGTCCTGGAACTCTCTTTCTCTCTCACTCCCACATAAGCTGTCAGGAAATATTGTTGATGCTTCCTTCAGAATAGACCCACAATCTAACCTTTCGTCTCCTCCACCACTCCACTCTGACAAATGTCCTCAATCATGTCTCACCTGGATTAGGACAACTTTCTGATAAGTGGTTTTACCCTACTTTGCTTCTCCTTCATAGTTTATTTTCCAAAAGTAACAAGCCATCCCTTTAAGACAGAAGCAATGCTGTGTCTTGCCTCTCTTTAAAATATTCCAATGGCTACCATCTTACTGAAGGGAAGCTAAATGCCTCATAATGATTCCACACTATCTGGCACCCTGTGCCTCTTGCACCTCATCCCCTCCTCTTCCCTTCAGCTTTCTTCAGCCACTCTGACAGCATGCTGTCTTCCACATCAGGTCTCCATCCTCACCTTTCTTAGTTCTTTTCTCAAATATCATTTGTTCAATAAGATCTACTATGTTGTACACTCCACTTTATTTTATTTTAAATATGTTTTTGTTGATTTCAGAGAGAGATAGCAATATCAATGATCAGAGAGATTCATTGATCAGCTCCTGCCCATATTCCCCCCACTATGGATCTAGCCTGCAACCCAGGCATGTGCTCTGACTGGGAATCGAACCATGACCTCCTGGTTCCTAGGTCGACACTCAACCACTGAGTCATGCCAGGTGAGCTGCAAATCCCTTCGTGCAATATACCCAAGCTCTCCTTATCACCTTTCCCACTAGGCCAATGAAGACTAAGCAGCTGGTTAGTGAAGACTTATTTATGTATTTGTTTTTCATCTGTCTACCTGCACAGAATGCAATGAGATAATATTGTCTATTGTTCAGTGTTATGTCCCCAATATCTAGAATGGCACCTCCCACAAAGTAGACTCTTGATAAATGCTTTTAATGGAAATTAAGCATTTTTAAGGATATTGTCCTTACAGTTTATATATATACCAGAGGTCTGATGCATGAAATTCATGCAAGAGCAGGTTTTTCTTCCCCCAGCTGGGAGCACTGGATTCCCTCTGGCACCTGGGACCCGAGCTGGCTTCCCTCCAGCTGCCCACAGGCACCCAGGACCCCGGCTTCCCTCTGGCCCTGGCTTAGTCTGGAAGGATGTCTGCAATGATGTCCAGAAAGATGTCCGGTCTAATTAGCATATTACCCTTTTATTATTATAGTTTTTTAAGAAACTAGTATTATCAATGAATGTCTGAGACTCTTCCCTCTTCTGTCTTTCTGAAGGGAATACCCTAGACCAGTGGTCGGCAAACTCATTAGTCAACAGAGCCAAATATCAACAGTACAACGATTGAAATTTCTTTCAAGAGCCAAATTTTTTAAACTTAAACTATATAGGTAGGTACATTGTTATTAACTTAATTAGGGTACTCCTAAGGCTTAGGAAGAGCCACACTCAAGGGGCCAAAGAGCCGCATGTGGCTCGTGAGCCCCCGTTTGCCGACCGGCCCCCCGCCATTGTTATTAACTTAATTAGGGTACTCCTAAGGCTTAGGAAGAGCCACACTCAAGGGGCCAAAGAGCCGCATGTGGCTCGTGAGCCCCAGTTTGCCGACCATGGCCCAACGCATGGTGGCTAACTATAAGGAGAAATAACTTACGTCCAGACAGTTTTTGCAAAATATTTTAAGATTTGCAACACAAAAAAGCAGGAACTGATCATTTGCTTGGTTGGCCTGTTCGGTTCTTGGTGTCCTTGCTCCTTTTATCAGAACTCTGTGTGAGTTCTCCCACTTAGCCGGTTCGCCTTTCATCTTCCTCCAGGTTCAGCTGAAACACCTTTTACAGGGTTGATTGAACAGAACTTAGCGTATACTAGTCAGTCTTTTATGGTTTAATCATATTCTTCATTTCATGCCACCCTCTCCTCCAACCTGACAAGGTGAGGGGCCATCTCCTATCCAGCTTTCCTGAACCCACACATCTCATGCCACATTCTTCATGATACTTCTGTTACCTACCATAGAACAGCTGTTCCTTCCTTCCCCAGATGCCTAATATTCTGCCTACCTCTGCCCCACAGCGTACAGTTAGTGTGTGAGAAATTTGAGCAAGTTTTCTCTCTTTTGTCTGCTTGCTTCTGTAGAATAGATATAGTGAAGTCTAAAGTGTTTGGTAAGTTTGTTTAGATCTCAGTCAAGTGATATAAATGAGTCCCATGCCCTCCATCTGTTACTTCTCTCAAACGCTTGCAATGCCAGGAAGTATTAGCAAAATCTTCAGCTTATCTTCTGAACCATGTGCAAGCCCTTTGAAGACGGAGACCATGGCTAACATTCACGTGTTCCCTGCAGGGTCTAACAACTCCAGGCCTTGTACACAGTTGGGACTCAATACATAGTATATTCAGAAGATTAATTTACTATAACTTTATGGCTGCACTCAATTTGCAGAATAGATGATAAACATTAAACATTTATTGTGACTGCAAAAGGTTCCTCTACCACTCTACGCTTTCTGAAAATTCAAGCTTCTCTGGGTCTTTGTATATCTAACACAAGGTTGCTCAAAGACCCCAGAGTCACCTGTGACAAAGAGCTAGGCAAGACCATCAAATACTAGGAGCCAAGATTGTATTATTATTTCTAATAGATTGGACATTCATTGTGCCTTTTTTCTGAAACTAGGAATGAATGTGATAGCATCTCTATAGCTTGCCCAATGCTTTCTCCCATAGTCATCCCTTCCGGCCCAGCTAGATCTCTGTGTGCCCATACTAGCAGCACTCCATTAATCATGGGCAGAGGCTGGGCATGGCTCCCAAGCCTGTGCCAGAAAATCCCCACAGCAAGGCTGTCTCTTTACAAAGACAAAGTTAAGGACGCGATGTTGGCCCTCAGATATCCCTTCACTCAGAATGCATGATTTTAAATCAGGCTTGAAATTAGCCCTATTATCTAATGATGAAATAAAATGTACATCCTGAGCACTCCACTCTGTCAGGCAATTGCTCATTAATCTTTAACAATATAGTTATAATTTTGACTCCTCCAAAGCTTAACTACATCAGTGGCCCCCCCTAGGTATCTATGGGAAGACTGGTTCCAGGTCTCCCCCCCAGGGACACAAAAAATTGAGGATGCTCAAGTCCCCTATATAAAATGGCAAATATCAATGTATACAATTGGCCCTCCACCTCTGCGTGCTCCCAACTATGGATCGAAATGGTATAGATATTTATTTTAAAAATTCACGTGTAATTGGACCCACACACTTCAACCAATGTTGCTCAAGGGTCAACAGTACTCACTTAACCAGGACAAAATTGATATATATATATATAATTTAGATATTCATTGAAGGTGAGATTTGCCCACAGGTATGAACTCTACAGTAGAGTGTGTATAAATTAAAATAAAATTGTTGAAAAATAATGTAGATGAAGTCATCACCTCTCAAGCTCTGGCAGATTTTTGGAACTGGGTGCTCAACAGAGGTGTGTTCAGCAGTGGAACAGGTTAAACAGGACTGGGGGGTGGGGCTGTGCTGCGAGATGAAGCTACCCACTATATCCCAGATGGATGGTATACAGGTCCATTTGCTAGAGTAAAAAGGTAAGTATTTATTCTGAAGGCAATGGCCACAACGTTTTAAACACAGAAATATTGTGTTAGACTTATTTTTTAATCATATAATCATATGGATATCGGAGACGAATTGGAGTGTATAAAAGAGAAAATTTACATAATATATATGACATATATATTAGTCTCTCCCCTCAATTCCTGGCACAAAACTTGTAAAACTCTTATCATTTCCTAAGTGATAGGATAATTTCTTGTTCTAATAGTTGGTCTTTAACCCCATCCTTGACACAGGCCTCCCCAAACCCTGTAATTCCTAAGAGATGAGAGCACTAGGGGCATCTTTTGTTCTAATGAGGTGACTCTGGTGAGCTCATGAACAGTTCCTGTATGGAGGCCGGTAACCAGAAAGATCAAGCCATGATTAGAATCTTGGAATTATTAGCCCCACACCACCATCCTCTTGAGCAGTAGTTCTCAACCTTCCTAATGCCACGACCTTTTAAATTTGTGGTGACCCCCAATTTCATTGCTACAAATTGAACATAATTAAAACATAGTGATTAATCACAACAACAATATGTAACTATATATGTGTTTTCCGATGGTCTTAGGCGACCCCTGTGAAAGGGTCATTCGACCCCCCAAAGGGGTCGCGACCCACAGGTTGAGAACCGCTGTCCTAGAAGTTTTCATGTTCTAGCATATTTTTTTTCCATAGGAAAGGCCAGCTAGTGACTATAGTCAGTTCTTTATTTCTGACAGCAGGTGTCACAATTGCCTCATAAAAGAGAAGCATACTGCGTTTTCTTAATTCAAAAGAGAAAACACTAATCACCTTAAAAGGTGGTTTTAAAATCTATTCAGTTAGTATCATGGATTGCCATAACAATAAATAAATTTCTTCTAATGACAAGTAACATGCAGGTAAATACATCATTGATTTAGTAGTGATTGAAGAGAAAAAAGGGAACATCAGCTCATTAAGTGTGTGTGTGTGTGTGTGTGTGTGTGTGGTATCCATATATACAACAAGCAATATCCCTAGTCCATAAATGTTAAAATGTGAAAGGATGCTACCTATGGCATCAAGGAAATATGGTAACTAATCACATGCTATTTGCACGTGCCAGGTAAGACCCACAGCCCTCACCACTGCTTCCCAGTTTCTCAGACATCTGCCTCATTTAGCTTCCCTTGCACAGACTTTAACTCAGGAGCAGAGCAACCAAGTGCCAATGCCCCTGCTGGTTGGTACCACAGAAAACAATGGAGATTTTTGAGGCCAGCAGGACCTAGGATAGTGAAGTGTGGTGGTAAGGACTGGACATTTGATTATGGACATAGGAGGTTGTACCCTTCTTTCATTTAGACTCTGGGGTGGTTCAGAGGAACATAAGGAATTCTGCCTGCTGTCTGTGATAGAGCCTGCAGCAAGTGCCTGCTGTTCTGGTAGTTGGTCCACAGCAGGAGCTCAATAAGTGCAGGGAGATGAGCCAGCTAACAGCCTCTAGAAGGTGCGCATCCCAACCTCGGCAACAGACTGTGAGGACTTCATCTCCCAGGGG